TGTTCGATGAATTTCGTTTGACGCTCGATCGATTCACGTGTTGTGCTCACGTCACAATAACCGACGTAAACAATCTGTTCCCAGATTTCCGTTCTATAGATGCTGTGAGATTTGATTTTGACTTCATACACTATAAACAGTCTGCCTGTTTGCTGTTCAACCAATAAACTCCTAAAGACATGGCTAGGAAAAGCCAAGTATTTTTGCATACGTTATAACTCGAAAACAAAGCAAAAACCAGTGACAAAAATACCGGGCCGCGTTTTTCTATTACATTGAAGACCACATGCAAAAATTCAAGCCCTTTCGTGAAATTTTTTTTTCACCCAAATCATCACTTAGCATGGTTTTGCACTCACCCCTTCAATTATTTCCCTTCCAGAGACTGTTCATTATAACACAAGAGTGAAGGCAGAAACTAACAAGAAATTCCTACCTGTGATGTTCCCCCCCCCCCCCCCCCCCACACAAACACACACACTAATAATGAAGGGTACTCTTGTCAAACCAATTCTGATGGATAGACTAAAAAAATGCCTGCCTGCTGGCCTGATAGACGGACAAACGGATGCACAGATGCACAGACTGACTAGAAGACTGGATTGATTGATTCTTACCTAGTACTTTCCTCAAGTTAATCTGCACAACAACCCACTTGTGCATTCCAGGATAAGAACCATAAATTGTAAACTCAGCACTCTGTTCACCAGGTTCTGTCAGAAGGCCGTATACATACATCCTGGAGGTGTTTAAGAACTGGTAAGTATGCCACGTCTCCCCTTCATTCCTGCTGTAACTGAGAATTCAAAGAAAACATTGAATTATTACCAACTATTCAGCATCATTGGTCTTGAATTACAAGTGCACATGTTATGTGTCGACGGTCTAAAAGTGTCATATTAAACCTGCAAAAATTCAACAAACCTACTGACAGTATTGTCCACTTTCCTTACTCATAATTCTCGTTCAAGTGAAAATTATTTGCACCATTCATGAATCATCTCGACTCATTGCCACTAGATGAGCTCGTGAACTGGTGCCTTAGTGGTTAGTGGGATGCCTGAAACATTATGCAATATGAGGTATTCATAGCAACTCAGATAGTGAGAACTGCCCTAAAAGAAGCTGCAAACTGACACCACCACTCTGAAAAACGACTCAGTAAGTGCAGAAATTATCGGATGTAAAGATCCGCTGAACAGTAAAGTGCACATGTTAAGTGATAAGCCACGAAAGCCCTGTGAAAACCCGACAATGAACAACCCTGCAGGTCATGTATTCCACAAAGGGGAAAATCAATAGCTCCATGGCTCAAGATAAAATAAACTATTAAAATGTACTAAAATTAATAAATAAGCAAACTTAATTGACCACTCCCCCAATACGATTTTTCAGGGTCAATGGAAACAAAGGATGAAACAAATAATATACATGAACATAACACATTAACATGGTGAAAAATCTCAATTGGCAGGAGGCAGACCAGTTTTCTATTAACAAGCGTGAAAGAGGAGTTGAACTTTGGGACTACCGAGAACCACACCAGGTAGTGGTCAGAACAGGATGATGTCCTTTATGTCCAAGATTAACTTTACCTAAAGTATGTCAATATCATTTAGCCACCTTTACCAAGTTAATTTAATTAACTTACTAAATCATGTTTGTCAAGGAGCTTCTTGGAACAGCAATAAAAATACCACCATGATCACCAAGGTTATACCACCAGAAGGGACGCTGCATTATCTGTAGTAAAATTGCGAATTATAATACAGTCAATTAACTTGATCCTTTTAAGGACAATACACTGTTCAGCCTTAATAGCAGAGCTCCGGTTTTGGACCACCAAGTGGAGCACCATAACTACAGGAACAGAACCACATGCACCAAGTACTTGTTTTTTATTGGATCACGGGCTCATGTCAGGTTAATTTGTTGTAATCAGGGCTGAGTTGTTCGGAAATTGGGTTAACCTTAATCCAGAATTAAAAGTTAGCCGAAGTATAAATTTATCTTCTATACAAGTGGTTCTCACTGCTTTAGGGTCAGGGCTCCTGGTGTAGTTTGAGATTATTCGAAATCAAAACAGAAGGTCAAAAATATAAACAGAAAACCTCATCACAAAGTTACAAAACTCAATCAAAATTCTCGCCTATCCTGGGATAGCTAAATCAGATTTTGAATAAAACGGCCCAGGAGCTCCGCTTTTAGGCTTGGCTAAATCTATATATTATGAACTCTTAACTGTTACACAGCAAGATTGGCACTAAAAGCAATTGGACAGGAAAAATGAAAATGCAACACTCAAGGTCTACAAATGGAACACACTACAGTGTGCAAACAGTACTGTGGATGAAATCTTTATCCATGGAAAAAAAAGTAACAGTGTCTCCTTATTGTATGTTCATTTGCAATTATGCCAGCAACCTGATATTGGTTTTGACTACTGAGGTCCCAAGCCAACTGGAGAATAAAATTAATATTGCTTCACTCATGGACTACCTGTATTAACAATATTTCATGTTTTTAACATCGCTAAAACTAATGCAAAATTATATATTCTTATGGTTTACCATGTGCCAAGACATTCCAGCATCTGATGAGATGAAGATATCACCATTCAGCTTCAAGTTTTCACCGAGAGCACCTAGGAAGTAACACAAGGTACAGATATGTTACCAAGGTGGATAACAGGTTTGGGATCAGAGGAGGATGAAATCGAGGGGGGGGGGGNCCAATAAAGAGGACAGGAAGTTATCTGGTATATAAGAGGAGGAGAGAGGAGGGAAACAACAAGAGAAAGAGTGGAAGTGGCTAGAAGTACTGGAGTAAGAAGAGTAGAAAAGAGGAGGAGGTAGGAGGAACAAAATGCACGCAGGAAAAGGAGGAGAAAAGAACAAGGGAAGGAGAGAAGGTGGCAGTGTAGGAGGACTGGCAAGCTTTTAGCCAGGATTTGGTCAGTGGCCATCCTCTAACAAATAATTATGGTGCAGAAGGCTCCATTCTGCTAGGGGGGTCTAGGGGATCTGCCCCACCTCCAAGAAAATTTTGAAGCATCTTAGGTAAGCTTTCTACAACTTTTAGCCGATAAATGTATCAATCGCACTTGAATGATTATGTGACATTTTCTCTGCCCAACCCTAAAATAGATAGATAGTTTCAGAAAAATGAAGACACTGAAGTTGCCTCTGCCCATACTAAACACATCCATTATTTTAACACTTCCATGATTTTCTTCGACTCTAACGTTTGCCCGACATTTCTCAATCTTGGTGACTATCTTGAAACAACAAGTGCTGGCTCACAAGACTTCATGTAGCCACCAACAAGTGTTGCCCAGAAGGAAGGCTTCTTGTTAGTTACAATTAATAAAGTTCCTTTCGATGAAATTGGTTCGGTAACAAAGGGATCACTCACTGGCAAACAGATCTCCCAGTTATCTACGGTTACTGATAATCTCATGAAGAGCTGGAGAAGGAGAAGAAGAAAGCATACCAGAACAAGAAGAGGGAGTGTAAGAAGCAGAAAAAGGAGGATAAAGAAGACACAGAGAATGAGGGAAGAAAGGAAGGCTGAAGAATGAAGGAGGTGAAGGAGAAGCAGAAGAGAGAGGAAGACAAAAAGGGAGAGGAGAAGGAGCTGAAGAAGTGAAGAAAGAGTATGTCTCCCAGTGGCAGTTCAAAAATGAAAAAAGTAGTGGCCCCTTCATCAGTTGTTATTGCTGTGATACGTAAAGGCAGATGGAGTTACCTGTTGCCATGATGATGCCTGGAGCTGAACTCCATGACTTCATAGGAGAGTAGTGGGTGCGAGGGTAGTATTGTCCAAATTTTTGGGACAAATGCAGTGAGCAATTTGGCTGAGGAAGAAAGAATTTCAAAAAAGAAAATAAATAATGCAATTCAAAAAGAAATTTTTGTATGTTATTAATTAGAAAAAGCAATAATTCCCGTCAGGACACAACCCTTGCCTTTGCAAGCCTGGGAAGAACAACAATATTATAATACATTATAGTTACAGTTTTCCTCTCGGCTGAAAACCCCACATTTCCAAATTCCAATAATACTGTACCTGAATCCTGCATGACCAGCTACGGCTGATGTGGCTCCCACTTTAAATATTGTAATTATTATTTATTCTCTGACTGATTGGCAATTTTTTTGATGGTGACAAAGATCACTTTTTAGGGCTTACCAGACTGCAGTTCAAGGGTTTTCCATTGTTGTCCAATTTAGGAGCTTGCACTGGCTGCCACAAGCCACCCTTGTCAAATGTTATCTTGGTCAGGATATGCCGACGTCCTACTCGTCCAGGAGTCAGTTGACTTGCAATATAAACGCCTCTCAGTCCTCTCACTTTGTGAACGTCGACAAATGTAAAACGTATGTAACGGCTGATGCAAAACAAAATATTAACACTAATCAATAACTCTTTAATATATAACAAGTAAAATTACGTATTAGTATTCTTGCATTTTGGTTGGTTGTTATGTATGATCTATTGGAGGACAGACATAATATAGATGTTATGAACATTTTTTTGTTTCTTTATTATATACATAACTATGTAAAACAAATAGATTCCATGGTCCATGAAGGGACACTGAGAAGGTTGGCATTTACTCATGTGACATGATAATCATATCAGGAGTTTATGTCAAGAATTCTGCAGCAAGAGTGTCACCAGTTTTAATTAACTTTATTAAGATTAGAGATTTCAAGCTTTTGAATTTTAAGCTATCATTTAGTGAAAATTCAAGGACTTGCAAGGACCTACATATATTCAAGTACTTCAAGTACTTTCAAGGCCTTGAAAAAAGGCTTCTTAAATTCAAGGGTTTGCAAGATGTGTACAGATCCTGGACATACGTGCATACATGTATGCATTTCAGGATCGCTTAGCCCAAGATGCATTAACAAGTTAGCTTGCTATCTGTTGTAAACAAGAACTCTCTATGACTGATCCTGGCCACCATAACTACCAAACTGTAAAATCAAAACATTAGCCTACCTCAGCCATGCAGAAGAGGTATTCTTAGAAAAATACAACACCCTTTCCAAGGACAAGCTATACTTTGTTCCAGTGGTGTCTGAAATGTAGAGATGAGTTGTCCTTCGATCATGTGTCACTGCCAGGAAAACCTGGTTCTCTGAAGCATCAGCAATGAAGAAATCCTACAAAAACAACAACAACAACCAAAAAAACGCAGTGATTTTATTGCAAGCTAGGAAGAGGACCAGATAACAACTTTATCTCCTATCGTGGAATGTTGGGACATCTTCAGCACCAGCACAGATTTTTTCACTAAAATAATAAAACAGTGACAAGGACATCTGTCATTCTGAGGGAAAGTCAAAAATCACACCATGCAAGCAAGCTAAGGCTGAGTCTAGTATATCTGTCACAACAGTCCAGGATTTACACCTAGTTGCAAATTTGTGAAAACTTATGACAATATGTTGTTTTGTCTGCATGTAAGTGTATAAAGCCAGGAGAAATTATGCATTGACATTTAAATCCCCAGTCTCATCAAGTCCATTTTCAACCTCTTTAACTGCATAGTCCAAGGTTGAAAATATGACATTAAAATATCTAATATTATATTGTAAGGGAGTGATTAGTGCACTCGTCTCCGGATCGAACGGTCCTTATTGTGTTGTGTCCTCGGGCAAGACAATTTACTCTCACAGTGCCTCTCTCCACCCAGGTATACAAATGGGTACTGGTGAACTTAATGCTGGGGGTAACCCTGCAATGGACTAGCATCTCATCCAGGGGGGAGTAGAAGTAGTCTCCTAGTTGCTTCATGCTACAGAAACTGGGATAAGCTCTGGCCTGGTTGGCCACTTGGCTCGCATGCAGACTTTACCTTTTACCTATTAAAAGTAAAAACTTGTCAAGGTCTGATTGATGATACCCTTGTCTTTGTCCATTGTAGATAGAATATGACTGTACTTGTACTTGCTGATAGTCAACTTGTCTCCACTTTGTTGCCTATTTTCTTAGATTTCTCCAGGCTCATGGTTTTAAAGTTTATCAACAGAAAACTTCTTTATCTCTTCCTAAATCAAATACACTTTACCTGGTTCAACCTTACAATGAAACAATAGAATTAAGTCCAAGGTTAAGTGATCCAATTTACCTTTGTGGGAGAGGATGTAGGAATTTCAGCAAGCCTAAACTGAGTACGGTTTAGTGACACCCACAAATTCCGAGAGCCAGGCTTTGAGGACTAAAAAGAAAAATGCACATTTAATTCACAAACCTCTTCAATGTCTGATAATGCAATTATCATTAAATAATATTTTTTTTTCATGTCCAGTAATACACAAGGAGTAAATGAGTCTGCTTGTTGCAGTAACTCAGTACATACATGTAGAAACAAACTCGTACTTTACATGTAGGAAAGAGGACAAATTTGTGGATATATGTGTCATGAAGTGGTCATTCTCCTAATATGCTTTTTGACTAATAAGCACAATACAATTCACCTGACAAACAACAATACATTATAAGTGAAAAGAGAATTTTGAGTGGAGAATGCTTTTAGTCAGCAAGTTTGATTCAAGTGGATTTAAGGATTTATATCTCAAGATGTTACATTGGAGTTACGTATACCAAGAGTGAATGTCCAGAATGTATCAACAAAGTGGTGAAACACATGCAATAGGGACTTCATTGATCTGTTTACATCTGGACTCCAGTCAGTGCCGTGGTGCACTGGTGTTCAATCAGTTACGGTAGCAGGTATGGTTGCTATTGGGTGGGGTTAGGTACCTCGGGATTTGGTGCATGGGCTGTGACCGCTCAGCCATGTGTCCCTTTGCTCTGATCTGAGTTGGTTCACTCAGAGATCCATTCAGCCTGGTGGAGGACTCGTGGCCGAATTGCAGGCAGTGCTTGCCAAGTGGGGGGTCTCACATCATGGGGCTGGGGTTACAGGGTATGTGTTGGGTTTGTTTTCACTGGGCACCTAAACTCCACTTGCGACGAATGTTGTTAATCAAGAAAGTTGTGAAACAATGTACTAAGGAATTTATTGATCTACAGTGTAGTTGTTGGGACATAATGGTTATCTTAAATGTACATAATTTACATACAGGTATAAAATTTTCTAAGCTCTTGTTTGACTGGAAATAAAGTACTTCAAGAATGTTAGAAGTTATTAGCAATGAAGGTAGGCAAAATTAAATCAGTTGCTGAAATACAGTATCAGAAGAATTATGCGCACATTGTACAGAGAAGTATCAAAGGTAATACTTCTGTGTAATAATAAGATAGTTTTCACTTGCCCCTACTTAAATATTACTTGTCCCTACTTAAATATTACTTGCTGATGTGGTGCAGCCAGTACAACATGGCAATCAGAGGACAAATCCGAACAAAGTATACTTGGGTTCCTAACTAATCCATGCTTTCAACTCAATTTTTTACTCATCTTGCAGTCTTAAGTTTTGAAATTAGTTTCTGACTGGAAATTATCATTTTATCAAGCTGACTTTTCAGTAGGACTCACAAGACTACATGTACAGTACATGTACTGGAGCTAATTTCACTTGCCCACCGGGCCACTGAACTTCTATTTTCAGTTGCCCAAAAGCAACCTGGGTTTTTCCTGCCCTAAAAAGCTATCATTATTAATAATTTATTCAACAGAAATACAAAAAGGCAAAACACTGTAAGGCACTCACATAATTTGTAGCGAACATGTAGTTGTCCAGGACTTCAAAGTCAATCACGTTCTTAAACAGTACTATTGCAATGCTGGAAAAATAGTCGGTTTTAACCACATTAGAATCACCACCTGAAAAACAAATTAATGGAATTAGAATTATGATGATTACAGCATTCACTGAACTGCTAAAGGGTTCATAGTCATGTAGAAACGTGCACTAACTATTGCAATGTGATTAATGTACTGTAAGAGCATTCCCATCACCCACCCATCCCCTCTCCTTCCCTACTAGTAAAAACAACATGACAATTTGCCATGTTATGGGTATTATAGGCTCAACTTCCGCCACTCTCTTGTGTCTGGCCTTTGTTGGTTCAGTCTTTGTTTGTTGGTCTTCCACTCCTTGAGTTCAGGAAGGGAGCACAGGCTTGTTTCCCAAACAGCTGCTGGACATCTAGCCAATGGGTATTAATTGCTGTGCTTAGCTCATGCATGTTACACAACTTAGACCCAATATGAGGTAGAGAATTTTAGCGTGTAGTACACACAGTAGCTACAAATTTTTAAATAAGTAATCATGTTTTTCACAGAGCTTTGACGGAAAAGGCTTAAATATTGTTTAAATAGGCAGCTCAATTTGCAATCTTTTTTCTGATGAATCAAAAGTTAGAATAACGTAGCAAAGTTTGCAGCCAAAATTGATCACACAAAACTATGGTGTTTTCCCAAGCAGCTGACAGCTTTTGACAACTCTGTGTACTACTAAAATACAAATGAGGTGAATACGTGCGCATGCATGGAATGCAAAGGAAAAGTCGAGTAGTGAGGAGAGATGAGAGGTAGTAGGGGAGGGGTGGGTTACTTTTTTAACTTTTAAAATGATACCCTGGATAAAAATAGCCTGGATTGGACAACATTTATTTTTACCCGTAACGTATCAAAACAAAATAAGTGTCACATTGCTAAGTGCCCCCTCTCCAATGCATGAGAGTGTCCTTCCTTGTGTTTCAAAAGAAAACTACTTCCCCGGGTGACAAATCAAATCATTAGTTTTTAGGTAATGAAAAGAAGTGAAAGTGAAGGATGATCATTGCAGTAAATTTTCCAATTTAAGCCATTGGAAAGAAGAAGCCTGAAAAAATCAGGGCTTCAACGGGATTCGAACCCGTGACCTCCGCGGAGGTCACGGGTTCGAATCCCGTTGAAGCCCTGATTTTTTCAGGCTTCTTCTTTCCAATTGCTTAAATTGGAAAATTAACTGCGACGATCATTCTTCACTTTCATCTACAACCGCAGTTCA